AGTCAAGCAGTTTTGCTGCTCTCGCTGCCTGGAAGTAATCATTTAGAGAATGCAAATAGAAAAATGGTAATCAGAAGGTAGTGTACAATGGTGCATTCAGATGTATTCAACTATATTTTTGTTTTCGTCCTACAAGGTAGATTATTTTTAAAATGTGTTTAGTCAACAAGAAACTTTTGCGTTGAACGAAAGCTGATAGATTCACGTTAGAGTAAATCACAAAAATGAACTTAAATCATCATCATTATATCACGCAGTCTAACATTTAACGTTTGAGTAGGTCATTACCTCAGTTATTTCACTCCACAAGTCAGTATAGTTTGTGTTACTGTATTGATATTTTTGAAGATAATTTTGGAGACCATGCTGAAGGACACCAGGTCTGATAGTGTTACTGAGCATATGCAAGAGACTTGCACCCTGAAAATCATCCCATTGAGGAGCTAATGAAAAATCCCTTTTACTATTACTGTTTTCATCATCGATCTTGGTCTGTCAAATCTGGATAGAAATGATGGAGGAGGGGACAAAATTAACTTGAACACGGGACTGATCCTATCTCAGATCGATAGTTGAATCGATTCTGTTCTGACTGAATCTATTTTAAGCGAGAAGAATTGTACTCAACCTTATTATATGGAATCCTTGTGAAATACTTCGGTTTGTCAGGCACGACCGGTTTTGATGTATTAGCATACGAGTCGATCTCGTATGCAGCCAATGCTTTTCTGTACCGCTCGAATTTCTGAAAATATCAGTAATACACAGCCGTCGTTCTATTTTGAAAAACGAAATTACTGGAGGTAGGTAATAAGTAACAATAAAGACATTGACGATATTTTAAAGCTTTGACTTTACTGCATCGCCATCTTACAGTCGTCACATAGGTTTCCGAGAATTCTAATGCACTCAGCAGAATATCGGAATTTATTCTGAGACAATGATTACAATCAATCACTGACATTGTATTTGGACTGAGTCGGGAATGCCCTCTCAACGCCGAATGTTTCCCAATAATTTGCGAATGCTTCATTCAGGAATATCACCGGCCAGAACTTTATTGTGACCAAATCGCCGAACCACTGAAATTATTAAGCAGTTGTATAAAGCTTTTCTGAATTAACGGTGAATTTGCTACGAGAAGCCGAAAAGAAAGAGTAATTTAGTGCGAGGATGTAAATTGTATGAAAATAGAAGAATAATCTATTTGAAGGTAACCTGATGGACAGTTTCGTGAGCGGTTACACGCGATACATCTGAATAGGTGAAAGCATCTGCATAGAGTGGATCAACCAAAGCTCGTTTATAAGCAATGTGAATGAATCCCCAGTGCTCCTCAGCACCTTTCATTGTCGTGTATTGTGGTAAAGCGAGCATATCTAAAAGCTTATCATATCTCGAAATATTTTTCATGCAGCTTCTCATTTTTATGGGAACTTTTATCAGTTGATCAATAAATTTATCAACTGTTTTATCAATTGATTGAGAACACTTAAAGAGGAGCATTGATGATGAGGCTTTGCATAAAATTGAAAGCTTCTCTCATAACGTGTTTCTTTTAAGTGAATTGAAATGGTAATCATTCCTGAAATGAAATAACACTCACCAAGTTTCGGTAGAGGATATGGG